GATTGGATCTCCCTAAAAAATTATTGATTCCAGTATTTATGATTTTGTACATTAATATAATTAATAGGTAATTTGAGTATCCATTTCCATGATTTTTGCTCATTAATTTTCATACAAGGTTTGACAGGTGCTGAAAATAATGCATTTTTCCCACCCCTCTGCGTTATTTCTGCCCCCAGACGCGTGCACGGGCAATTTGTAAGACAAAACATTTCGTAAAAAGGCTGTTTGCTCTGCGGTCTGGGGTGCGATTTCGTGTCATTGCATGCGTTTTCAATAACGTGCCGAGAGGAGGAGTCGGCGGCATAAATTTCTTCTTTTCCACCGCGGCAGGCAGAACAAACACATACAGAAAATGTGATGCAATAATTTTTCCTGGCTTCTTGTGTAAAAACGCAGAGAGCGGCTCCCCCATGCGAGAAAGAATATAATATGCACGCATCGGGCAGACCGGCCGACCAACAGTCGGCCCTGCGTGCTGCTGTTTGTGTGTTTTCTGATGACACGCGAGGCTCGACCAAAGGGACCCGCGGGTCCCAACAGAAAACATACACAGAGTGCAAACCGACTGCTCTGCATGTCAGTTTGCGTTTTATCAACACACACACACAATAAGTGTAATTCTGGTGTACAATAAATTTTTATCATCCCAGCAAACAAACGCACTGAGTGAATGACATATGTACACGCGGCACTTTATTATTATTATTATTGAATAATGAAACGCTGCCAACTGTCATCAAAACGTACAGAAAAAACAATTATTCCATTTAATATATCAAGATTATTATTATTTTAAATAATTTAAATTTAAGTCTCTTCTTTTTAATTCTCAAAAAAAAAAGGATTTTTTTTCCACAATATAATGTGACGCTTTTTGTTGATAGTGCTGGTCTGTTTTGGGTTGATAAATTTCACTGTGTAACATTAAGTTTTCTTTTTCTTTTTTGATAAGGCCCTTAAAATATATCATGTGTGCGCCGGTAGTGAAGTGAAGTGAGATTGTGTGATTCTATTAGTTGACGTTTGTTCGTCCATGACGCACACTCGCATGCTTTTTTCCACTTTCTTTCGAGACAAATTAACGTTTAAGAAATGAAAAATATATAAAAAAGATAAAATTTACCTGCATGAGACAGTGTGTGGTGCTGATAATTTTCAGTGCTAACGGCCTCTTTTTTTATAAAATAATGTGAAGGACTGGAGGTCTTTTTTTATTTATATAAAACGTTTTGCAGTTCTTGATTTGCCATGGTGGAATGCAATTATTTTACAAAAAACAACGAAAAATATTTATCTCTTGGCGCAGGTTATCAACAAGAAATGGGTTTTTCAGTTTTAACGACGTCCGGAAAAAAGTAAAAGCAGGGCAAAAAGTGTTGTCAAAAATAAATATGTCATTCATAAATTATAAACGAAAAATCACCAAGGAAAAAGCATTTTTCAGCACGTTTCTTTTTCATTCATTCATTTGTCTTTGTTCCACTGTGTGTTTTTAATTGTCCAGCAATTATGGTCAAATTATTCTTATCCGATTTTTCCGCGCCTTAATTAATGCTTGTCAAATTAATCAAGCATTATTGTGCAGCCGCCGCGGTAGTTAAGAGAAGTGTGAACTAAAACGCAGCACGCGGTGCTCCAGTGCTTAGATGATTATAATTATTAATTTCGGGGATTAGTCCGCGAGATTTTTGGGCCAATGTCCGCGCGCGTTTTGCTTCTCGTCGCTCCGATGCATGCGAGTACAGTCGTGTGTGCATATTATTATGAACATATGAGTGAGTGTGCCCGTGAATTATAAATTATTTCCACACTCGCTCTCCGCTCGGCGGCAATTAAGTGCCGAGTATTTTACATTTTTAGGCTGTGTTCTCGTTTTAATTGTGCGCGCAATCGTGGAAGCGTGTCCTGCACAATTACCACGCGTTTGTTAACACAGGTCAGGAATTTTTGATACATATAGTTTTTTTTTTTAATATTATTGAACTTAAAAGTGGAGTGAAGTACGAGTTCAAGGAAATGTCGCATTTATACAAAAAATTATTCAATAGTGAAATTTTGAATAAGTTAATTATTTGAAACAGCATTACTTTGAAATTTATTTTTGCAATTATTACATTTTGAGCACTTTTAAAAGAAATAATATCAGCAGAAAATTTTACTTCTTTAAATAAATAAATTGTCTGTTCACGATTGTATATATTTACGAAATATTTTCAGCTTTTCGTAATAATTTTGGCCCCAATATCACCCTCTCCTTGTTTTTTCTCAAAGGCGTCCATTTTTAATGACAAGACAGCCAAGTTTTCCTTATCACATACCAAAGATACTGAGCAATCAAATTCCCAGGAAGACAGGAACTGCACAGAAATTGCGTCGGAATTTTTTTCCCCTTCACTGCTGAATACGAATGTTGAATTTTATTACTGCCTGAATATATTTTTCTTTCCGTGGCATGGAAAATTTAATATACAAAATAATCGAACTCTCCAATCAAAACGAGAAGGCCATCATTTTTTCACCACCCAGAGATATACTTCTCCTCTTTATATAGAAGACACATTATTCACTCTATAAATTATATAAAAGTCTCGGCCCGTCAAAACGGCGCGCGGGATTATTTTCATGCGCAAGGCTGCGGTGGCGGCTCATGGATTTTATTATCAATAACTTCAATCAAAATTGCTGTTGGACCTCCTTACGGCTTCCATTCCTTGCCTCAATAAAGAAAGCCAGCACATTATTCTCTCTGCCCATTCTTGTGCACGAAGAATGAGATATGGCTGCGCCTTCTTCTCCAACATAATATTGAACGTGCGCCCGCGCTCGAGAGAGAGAGAGAATAAGGAGATGCTCAGACTTTATAAAAATTTAATAACAGTCATTGTAGCTTGAAAACTGTAATCAAACAGAAGTTCCAGTGGACACACTTAATTTACAAGCTTCTAACAGGTCTGATCTCTCTTGGCGATTTTACAAAAGAGCGATTGAATAAAAAAAAATTTAAAAAAATTATACATTTTTCTGAAGTTTTGTTCTATTTTATTCAGGAGGTTTTTCGGCCGCGTCCGCAGTGCTCCGTGGCAAATTTGAAATCCTGGCTTTTTTATACCAGACGAGACTTTTGCTCCCGAGAGAAAGACGGCGTGTTATACGCTCGCTCGCTCGCTCTCGTTTTATTTTATACACGAGACGTACATTCAGAGCAGCGATATAGAAAAATGCTATCGGAGGCCAATTTCTGATTTCACGCGCAGCGGAGTGCAAGAGACTACAGTAGCTCAATCGGTTGCTATGGTTACTCGGCAGGCTCCGCTCTAACAATGGGCCAAGAAATATACAGCGGCAGCAGGAAAGCAGCACCACCATCATTTCTTTCTCACGAACCACGTCACTTTTCACAGTTTTTGTATCGTCCAATGCAATGGCGCTGACTCCGGCGCAGCATTCCATCTTGGTGCTCCACGCAGCACCGACACATTTTCCGCAAAATTTCAATAATTTTTTTTTTTTTTAACTAAAGATAATGATAATCTAGTGTTTCATCCCATATTTCTTTACGGTCTTATTTTATTCTTAATTTTGACAAAAAGAAATTTCATGGCTAAAATCACAAAACAATCTGTTAAGAATTCCTTTCCTTTTTTTTAAGTTCAATTAATATGTTAGTGCAATTGGACGATTAATCAAAGCAGAAGAGGAGACCTGAAAAATATTTTTAAATACTATCATAAAGGTTACTGTCGTGGACTTGCAACTATAATTTATTATCTATAAGTTTAAAAATTTCTTGCTAGTCAAAAATGTTTAGAGTAAAATTCTAATAATTGATGTATAATTTTAAAAACAAAAATTCCTGATAAAATTATTTTAATATAGTAAATATTAAATTGTTAAAAGTAAAATTTTTAATAAAATTAACATTAAAACTTTATAAAAGTATAGTAATATTATTATTTTTACTATTTTACATTACTTTGCTTACATTGAGACATAACAATTTGAAAACTATTGTGAAATTTAATAAATCGTTTTTTTTTTGCAGTTTTTTTTATACCAATATTGTATGCACACGCACATACTAGATACTTCTCAAGTTACGCTCATTCCAATTTTCATAACATGATAAATTATTATTTGGACAAAGTGCAGCCAAGAGAGTCAATTATCAAACAAGTTGTTAATCGCGCGCCGTGGTGGCTCGGCGCTTAATTGGGAAACAAACTAATTGGCTTTTCATACCGTGCACGCGCGGCGCTATAGCTGCGATTTCAGCCGTTTTCCGAACAGCCCCTGTGTACATGTTGGTCGAAGTATAACAAGCTGCGTCAAAAGGGGCGAGTTTTATACATGCAGCAGCCCTTGTTGGCGGGCTGGATTATGTTCAAAGCGGCAAAGCGGATTTTCAACATGGATGGGGTGCGAGTGGCGATATTCGGTTGCAAAGAGATATGCTCGGGTAACAGAGCAGCGCGCCGGCGAATTAATTAACCTTTGTATATCAGTTTTCAAAAATGGAAGTACTTGTTTCGAAAACGCTAACAGCGCCGGGAAAGAGTAAAGAGGCTCTCATCATTATCCCTCTATTATGCAGAGAGTAAATTTTTAACACTTTTCCCTCAATGAAGATAATGAAGGTAAAATGTCGACTTTGTATATATTAATTCATTATAAAAATGAAAAATATAAAATCCTTTTATGAAAGTTGAGAAGTTCCAATTTAAATAAGAGGGCACTTTTAATATTTAATGGAGAAATTTTAGACGGCCTGTGTCGCGCACAAGCGGGCATGCATATAAATGTGGGCTTGAACATCTGCGCCAAATTTTCGCACAAATCATATTCTGGTGGTTCGAATAAATTAACAATCAATCTTCATAAAAGAGAGAGATCAAAAAATTCTTGTTTTCGTTTCGAGTGAGTTCAATGCACGGCGCCGTTTTTGTGATAAAAGTTGAGGATGAATTTAAATATTTAAAATAAAGTTTGACGTTTCTTACCTGAGTTTGCGTTAGTCCAAGGGAAGCGGCGAGTTCTGCTCTCTCGGGGAGCGCGAGGTACTGGGTTCGCTGGAATCGTCTGTTCAGCTGCTGCAGTTGCAGACTCGAGTAAATTGTGCGCGGCTTTCGCATTTTCTTTCCCTTGCCGTTCACCCTGATTCCGGTCGGATCGTCTTGGCCTTTTTCTGAAAAATATTTTTCAACTGCTTGAGTTGCGCTCTGAATCGTACAAAAACTATTGTTGGCAAAAAAAATTTGATATGAATGAAAATAAATTGACTGTAATTTGTACTTTAATAACAATATAGATTTCCGATTTTAATTAGAGGCTCAAATGATTTAAATTTTTAACTTCTCATGTAAAACATCTTATAAATAAGTAAAATAATTGAGAATAGTGACCAATATTTTTTTTTTTTCAAATATTATCCAACTTTTGATCCATCTATTTGTTACATCCTAAAAATATTTTAGTATTTCACTTCAACATCTGACCATAATTTGTGAAAATTGAATGAAATTCTTTTTTATAATTTCCATGCACAAAATTTCTTTAGTAATTTTTTAAATAAAATGTTTCTAAATGTTAACAGGTAAATTAAACAATAAAATATGCATTAAATTAATTTTTTTTAGTATTTAATATATTTTAATATTATTTTAAATAAAGAGTAATTTATTTAATTTTATGCAAATATTACAAACAAAAATTATCATTGCAACATTTATTTGTTTTTAAATGTTTTTTTGTGTGTAAAAGGAAAATTATGAATGTCTTAATTTGATAAAAAATATTATTAATACATAAATTGATATTGAGATGAGAAAGTAATAGTGATAAATTCAATTCTTCATAATTCTAAAGTGGTTCCAGTTTTAACTAAATATTTAAATATTAAATAATCGTGAAATGAAAAAAAATAATTATATAAAATAATGGAAGACTCACCATCTTTGGGTGGAGACGCGCACTGAGGAGGGTAGGCCCCGAGGTGGTGGTATCCGCCGTAGGAAGGGTGGTGGTGCGGCTGGTGGGCGCCGCCGTGATGCATCGCCGGCGAAAAGGTGTAGGCGCCCAACGCGCGGGGCTGACTAGCGGCCGACGCCTGCACGGCTGCCGCGAAGCCTGCTGCCGCGACGGCCGCGTGGTGATGGTGCTCGGAAGGGTGGTGGTGCTGTTGCGCCTGCACGTGCGGGTGGTTGTACCTGAGCGAGCTCGGGGGGTAGCTGGAGACGGCGTTCTGCTGCAGCTCGATGAAGGCCGACTTGTTGCTGCTGGCACTCGAGTTGGGGGTGGCGGTGCCCCCGTCCTGGGGGTGGTGCTCGCCACCCATGTCGCCGCCGCCGCCGCCACCGGCCGTGTTGGTCATCGTCGACGGCGTCGAACTGCCTCCGGCGCCACCCCCGGCCCCGTAAGGGCTGCCCAGGTCCGTGAAGTTTAACGTCGTGGCGGCCGGCGATTGTCTCCACAAACTACACGCGCCCTGCGGCTGGCTCGTCGCTCCCGAGATGACGCTGTTGGGGGTGCTCGCCTGCTGCGGGCTCGTCGACACCGGCTCGGGGTTGAAGTACAGGCCGTCGCTGCCCTGCGACTCCGTTTTGAACGTGTAGCGCGCTATGTTGGACTGCGGTGCTCTGCTGCACCGCAACTCGCTCGATTCGAAAACGCCGAATTTCGTTCACCAGCAGCTTTTCCTCATTGCAAATAACAGGCACTCCGCTGTCCCATGTCACAAGTACAATTCACAATGTCACTCTGTCGGTCACACACCTGTACGTATATAATTGCCGTGCACACGTGTGGTGGTGCTGATGGTGTATATAATAGGGCTGCAAATTGCTATGGCAAATAATCGACTGCGGCACTTGCGCCTTCCGCTAGCACCATAGAACGACTGAGTCCACCACTATCCCTACTACGAAGCCGTGCATAGCCGCGGCCCCCACTCCTCCCTGCTGCACGATAATATATTTTTCTCGTGTATACACCTACCTTTGCTGCGGAGGATAAAAAATTAAAAAACTGGCTCGCGACGCGACTTGAGCGCCGCGACCCGCGAACTAGCGGCCGCGGCGGGCCCTCCTCCCGCCGCCGTGACGTCACCTGGAGGCGGCCAATCGCGTTTAATTGCAGCCGCGATTATCGTCGATATTAACATTCACCACTCCTCTTTAATAAAATCCCATTGGCGGAGCGAGCACTTGCTCATAATAGGTTGTTGAACCGCGCCTTCCCTCCTCCCCCCGCGAGTTCGACTCCACCTTGAGCTGGATCGTCTCGCGAGGGCACCCTTTTTGATGTGACCTTGCGTCGTCACTCTCTCGCATGTGTGTCACCGGCGCTTGCACACGCAGGACTGCGTCGCACGCTTCGGTCACGACTCTGCTGCGTCCCTCTTTTTATGCTAATTCTTCACTAGAGTGCAATAAAGTTTTACGACTGGTCTTCGCATTTAATTGCACACTTCTTTTTTTATTTCTTCCGTGAGATACTATACACTTTTTGAAAGACGCTTCAGTGACTTTTAACCAAACGCCATAAACAGTTCCTGAATATTAATTAATTTCCACGCTCTTTTGCCGTCTCTTTGGTTGGCTTTTACAATATTTTGCAGTCTCGAATGCGTGTTATAAAAGCAATCGGGACTAGGCGCATAAATATATCAGAATAAAATAATAAAATTGTCTCTAAACATGAAAAATTTATATTTAAAAGACAAGCAATTTTTTAATGCGATGTCAGCAAAAATATATTGCACACATGCAGGAAATTGTTTCTGTATGCAGTTAATTTATCTTTCTCATTTAATATAAATGTATTGTAATATGGAAATGAAGAGATCGGGCTTTACTCGTTGCAGAAAAATTGTGTTTTATTGAAAAACAAATGGCTCTACCAGTTGCGGTCTCGGTCTGCGACACTATATTTCATGAGCATGCAAGAAAAATACAAAAAATCAGCAAAATTGAAAAACACCACATTTTAACATAAAAATTTAAAAGCTTAGAAACTAACAAATTCAAATACCAATCTGGTAATATAGTAATATTCTTAATTCCTTCATCTTTTTGCATTTCTTATACTCCAGGATGTTTTTTATTGATTTCTATTTATTTTATACTAACTAAAAGCCTCAGACAAATCCATCCATATCAAATTTTAAATTTTTATAAAAGCAATATGTGCACACAAACAGTTTTTATATATTTATAAAAATGACTATTACAATAAATGCAAAAAAAAAATCACTGTAATCAGTGACTTGAGTGAAGTGGATTTAAAAATTTCAAGTTTAAATCCAATCAATTTAAAAAGTATTTAAATAAATGAAATTGTAAAAAGTAAAAATATAATAAATAAAATTTTATTGGTTAAAAGTTTAGTCCCACAATTCATTAAATAATAATTAAATTTGAATAAATTTTAACACTTAAATTACTTCTTATTTTATTTGCAGGCATGTGATTTTTAACTTTGGTTTAATTATCAATGATTATAAAATGATACGTATATATTAATAATCACAATTTGATACTAAAATATAATATGATGCATAATCATGGTACGATAATATTAAGACTTCAGGGAAAAAATATTATAACTAAAAATCCATATCTATGCAACGCGCCGATTCTTCTTGTACATCCTGGTTGCATACCTTGCAGCGATGAGCCATCAATAAGGTCACAGCTTTTACGACTCTCCACTCTTAGCAGCCATTCTCTAAACCTATACCAAGATTTTTTATGAAGTTATTACATTTAATTGTGCAGTAAAATGTTTATATTTCCGGCATAATTCGCGATCGTTTGTCCAAAATGGCCGTTTGCAGGTGACACATTTCTCTCCAATGCTGCAGCAGGAGTTTTATATTCCGTATCCGACAACACATGAAAGCAATTCAACATCAAGCGCACTCGTGTGTGTGTTGAAAAATTGTATAGGCCAGTAAACATAATTCGAATATTTAACTCAATTAGCCTTCCAATTATGAGCGCAATTACGCTTATTAAAAATTCGCCGCTCTGCCAGCGGTGCAGTCGCAAATGTTTGCTTAATCAAATCAGCAGTCTGACTTGGGCGAGCACAACGTTTGCACTCTCGAACCAGAGCAGAGAGCGTTCAAAATTAATTTCTGCACTTTTGTTTGTTGCGAAACGTCGTCTCGAGATTTGTTTGGTGCGCAGTATTCCCGTGAAATGTTTGGCGGTGAATTTTTAATTACTTCTTGAGAAAGTTAGTGTCTGCGGCTCAGGCACGATTTGGCGTTTGGTGTTTAAAAGTGCGAAGGATCAACCTTGGAGTGCCTTTTCGAATAGATATAATTTGCTCAAACCAACTCAACGTGGATCGAGAAAAGGTATACATTTGTTTCAATCTTGCTGATTTATTTTAATTAAAATAAATTTCTACAAACTGATTTTAAATGTTACAACATTTTATAGAAAATAATATCAATTTAAATTACCATTATTTAAATTGCTTTAAAAATTAATATTAACTTTATTAAATTTCTTGTTTTTTTTTAAATGACCTATTTATCCAATAAAATAAAATATATTAAATTTAAAATAAACTTTAAAAAATTTAAATTGAGAGTGAACATTAGAACTGTTACATTATCTTTGGATGCTTTCATTACGAGTTCTCTTGTTGATAAATATATCAATACCTAAATATAATCAGTAAATATTTGAGAATATTATAAAATATTTATGTTGATCTGTCTAATTATTACAATATATAAACTTTGAATGTTAAAATGCATTTAAATATTTTTATTGAATTTGCTATGATCAACTAATATAGCCCTGGGGCCCCGGGGGAAAACAAATCAAAATTATTTTCAGAGAGTATTACTCAAACATTTTTGGCCACCTCGGTTGGATAATCGTTTTTGCAAAACCTTCCACGCAGATTTGCACGAATCCTTTCTTACTTAATGATCACGTCACTAAAAGGCCGTGTAATATATTTTTATCCGAAAAGAGTTGGAGTGGAAGGGAAAGAAAGCCGCCGCTATGGAGAGTACAAGGAAGCTGAGCCTCTCGTCATAAATCACTGGTCAAAGGGTAGCAATTAAAGTGCAATCACGGTGCCAGGCAAAAAAAAAATACATATACTCGGCATCAAGAGACACACACACACAGCTCAGGCACTAATCTAATTGTCACTTAGGCGCATTAGTGATGAGCACAAAAAAGACACCCGCGCCCCGAGCGATTTCCGAGAGGAGCGATACAGAGAGCCTTGCTTTGGGCGACGAGCTACCTAGCCGGACCCTCTTTGTGAAGCGCGCGCTCGACAGGTAGATCGAGGCGGATGGCGCCTCGCGGCCCAGACACAAACGAATATCACAAAAAACACAAAAGAAAAATATATATCGCCCCCTCCAGTTGGGCGAGCAAGGATTAAACGAAGCGCGGCGAGGACGGATGACCCGAGAAAAGAAACGCCGCTTTTTGCACTGACAGAGCAGGCCATTCTTTAATTGAAAGGGAAACTTACTTTTCTGCTAGGTCCACATGCTTTTTTGTGCATGCCCTGCCAAATTGCGTTTGACACAAAAAGCACCTGAATAGAGAAGCTTTATTTCTGCCCTCTTTCATAGTTCATTTTTCGCTTTGTTATGCCGCGGCCGAGCTGTGTCAATGCGCAGGTGAGTTATGTCTGGCAAAACATATTTTTCTATTATTTCGCCGCGCCGCTCGGCCTTGCCAACCCGCAGGAATAATATTTTTGTGAGCGAGAACTCTCTATGTGATATGATTTATGCCTCATTTGGCACACAATCGCATTTTCCACCCCTGTGACTGCACTTTCGTTGCTCTACAAGAATTCCAAAGGGTCTGCGGTCTGAGGAAAAATATTTGTACAGTTCCGATATTCCGCTTAAATAAAAATAAAAAAATGAGGAAACTGATGAGAGCAAAAGAGATAGACAAGTATTCCTTTCTTTTGAGACAAAAGTTATTTCTATGAATGCTTCCCAAAGCTAAATCTCTGACAAATATGGTGATTTGAATATAAAATCGACTTTTCCTCGATGGCTTTTTGTGGGTTTTGGATATCGTTTTTCTTAAACAATAAAATCTCAAAAAACCCAACGAGGAAAAGCCGAATTTAAATTCAAATCAAAATGAATCAACCCTCGATCATGAACTTCTACTACAAAACCCTGAAAAATAGTTTTAGGTATTTTATATGATTATTTATACTATGGTTTATTAGTCCAATATATATAAAGTAACAAAAAAAATATTAGCTAAAAATTATTTTATCAATTTATCTTCATCTATTAATTGTTTTTTAAGGAAACAGAAATTGTTCGTCTTGTTCGATAAAACGGCTTCCAACCAATAGCAAGACTTTTGCCAAAAACCCAACGTGAACAAGACAGGACCCATTAATCCGCTCAAATGAGCTATTAATATTTGTTTCCTTAAATAAATATTATAAAAATAAGGAATTAAATCCACTCATTCCCATGCACGGTCTAAAAACACATCTATTATTTCTTCAATATCTTCTTTCTATTGTTGTTTATTGTTTACAATCACAATTTCGGAAGCTTCCCATTGCACACATTACGAATAAAGAACAATTATTTGATCGTTTAGCGTAAAACTCTCATATAATAAAACGTACTAAATCTAAACGCTATAAGTCAACAGTCCAAAAAATATCTCTTTGCCATCGTAAAGGACCTTTAAATAATTGTATAAAATAAATAAAAATATGGAAATCTTATATTAGCTGCTTTTTTAGTTTTTTTTTTTTTTTTATAAAGTAAATTTTTTTCAATTTTTTGGCTATGGTCTATGCGTCACTACTCCATAAATGACACACTATTTAAATTTGAAAATAAAATGTTATTAAATT